ATATTTAAAAAAAAAAAAAAAAAAAAATACACGATGGATTATTATAATTATAAAAATTGCTAAATTACATTAATACCCTTAAAATTTTTAAAAAAATTAATTATTTATTATTATTATTTTTTAATAATTAGCCGGAGATAACCGCTCATATTTAATTATTTTTTTGTTAAAAGATTAAAAAATATTAATATTACTTTTAAAAATTTGTAGATATTTTTTAAACGAGAAAGATATTTTCGAGTATTTTACAAAATTAAAAGAGTATTAATGAAATTTTTAAAAATTTAAGAATATTGTGAAATACTTTTAAGGTTTAAGGGTATGTTTTAAATAAAAAAAATTAAAAAATATTATCGAAACATTTAAAATGGTATTAATATTTTTGTAATAAAGCACTAAATATAAGAGTATTTTAAGCGGTTAAGCTTTTAAATATTTGTTTTTGTGTATTAAAATTTGGTTATATTAAATGTTTCTGAATATTCAAATAAATATTTTTGTGCAAAAAAAAAAAAGTTAACCGACATAAATTAATAACTAAAATATAAGTGGCCAGCCAACACGAGTATAACTACGCAATAATTGACCTAAGTTTGCTCCAGACATTTAACTGAAAAAAAAAAAGATAAAAAAAAGTGAGGATAGTTTGGTAATTCGGTCAAAATATATTAATATATTAGGATAACAACCGCAAATTAGAGCTAAACTAGTACAATTGAGAAAAGAAAAGTGAGGGTAGTTTGGTAATTGACACTATTAACTACCATATTTGTTGTACTAACACAAATTAGCAAAATAATTAATTAGTTAAAGCGCTCCAGTTCTCGAATATTGATGGGCCAAATATCATTGGCGTCGCCGTCCATGAGCCGCCTGGCGATTATGGAGTTCGTAGCTTCAGAAGGATGAAATGAATCCCAAAACACGTACTTCGACCTGTCTACGCACACTCTCGACGGCGGTCCACAGGGAAAAAGACCGCCGTGCCTTCCGGCGATGTGGCAGCACGCCGAGTCGGCATTCTCAAACCCTGTACAAATGCAGCGAAGGAAGCTTTCAATATGTGAAGTGCAGGTATTCGACAAATTATCTCTATGAAAATGCTTTATTCGATGTTCTTTTCGTACCGTATGATGCGTGATTTTGAACTATATCTTGAACGATGTGATACGCATTTGCATAGAGGAAATTAGAATTCTGAAATTGAGCTCCGAGCTCTGTGATTAGACCTCTCAATTGGTTGTTGAATAACTGAGCCATTAGGTTAGGGGAATTTGCACAGTTGCTTCCTAATGAAGGATTTGAATCTCTCTGATATGGAATGCATCCGATTGGTCCGACGTTTACCACTACGATGTTTCTGGCTCCTAGATTGTAGAGTCTCTGCAAGTGATTCGGATACTTTTTTCAGAACTATTTTCGAACGAAGTAATGGAAAAGAGTCGACATGATTTCAGTGAAGTAACGAAGAAAGAGTGTTATTACTGTGAGTTGGAGTCTGTAACTCGAAATCATGGAGCCAACAAACAACTCTGGAGGAATCAACCGGTGTCCTGAATCCGAGAGGACTGGTGTAAAGTAGTTATTAATGAAGTCGTTTGAGCCAATGGTTATGGAGAATATGGAAGTTCTAAGCAAATCCATGGCAGCAGGAAGGCCAATCATGTCGATGATATCTTGTCTGTTGTTTGCAAAGTTATCGACTTGTGCAACCAAATTGATTCGAGCAAGCTTTCCAACACAAATACAAAGTCATTACAACTATAACAAGTACCCATATGTAACCATCCAAGCTCACCGCTAGCAAATATTGTCCATTTTGGTCCGTTACATATCGCCGTCAGCCTCACAATTTTATAACACATCTACTAGAGAGAGGTTTCCACACCCTTATAAGGAATGCTCCGTTCTCCTTTACAACTGATGTGGGACCTCACAATCCACCCCTTTAGGGGCCAGTATCCTCACTGGCACACCGTCCAGTATTTGGCTCTGATACCATTTGTAATAGTCAAAGTCCACCGCTAGTAGATATTTCCCCTTTGGCCAATTACGTATCGTCATCAGTCTCACGGTTTTAAAACGCGTCTACTAGGGAGAGGTTTCCACACATTTATAAGGAATGCTTCGTTCCCCTCTACAACCAATGTGGGACCTCACAATCTTCCCCTTGTGAGCTAGCGTTCTCACTGGCACACCGTCCTAGTGTCTGACTTTGATACCATTTGTAACCGTCCAAGTCTACCGCTAGTAGATATTTCCGCTTTGGCCCGTTACGTATCGCCGTCAGCCTCACGGTTTTAAAACGTGTCTACTAGGGAGAAGTTTCTACACCTTTATAAGGAATGTTTCGTTCCCCTCTACAACCGATGTGTGACCTGACAACATATAAGAAAGAAAGAAGGCATGTAAATATGCACATTCCATCCATGATTTTCCATAGAAAAACATGCTTAACTGGTTACTGCAGAAACTTACAAAGATTTTTCCTGTGTTATTGAAGATTCCAGCTGAACCAGAAGCATAGTTGACGCCACGAAGAATCATGGGTCCAGTCGAGGAAGGCGCCAAGTGCGGGGGAGTGAATGTCTCGAAGCCCAGCTCCTGACCTGGTAAGATGGGAACATAAACATAATAGACATTGAACTCTTGTTTGCTGTCTTTTGTTGATCTTAGTAATGCAATGTAGATCACAAACTTGCCTATTATGTCAACAATGGTTCGCCTGTTGGTGAATCGACCAGTCGGCCATCCGAAATCGATGCCCAGCCATTGGGCACGTTGTTTGCCCGGGAGAGTGATGGAATGTAGTTGTTGTTTCCAACCTCTACCAATGAATCCCCAAACACAAAATTAGCTGTAAAAGCTCTAGAGAAGCGAGTTCCAAACAATGTAAATAGGGTAAAACATAGGATACCCAAAACAGTATTGTTGTTGACAGAAGCAAGTTCCAAACAAGGTAAATAGGGTAAAACATAGGATACCCAAAACAGTATTGTTGTTGACAAAAATGATATCCATTTAGAAACATAGGATACCCAAAACAGTATTGTTGTTGACAAAAATGATATCCATTTAGAAACAGTCTTCAAAGACGAAAAATAGAACAAAAACAGGTTCTTGAGCAAGTAGTGTTCCCTTTTCAAACTTCTTTTGGGTATGTAATGGTTCAAAGCCAGAGATTCAGAAGAGAGCTTAGGATTAGGAAGAAAAGGTAAGTTGAAGGAGAAAAACCATTGAATGCTCTATCACACCTTCACCAACCTTGAGAATATGAGGGACTGCTAATTGTTGAGGGGCTCTTAACTTCCATGGGAGGTCTGATTCGTACTCTGATTATAGCTTAAATGCCTTCTTATTTTCTGTTAAATACCGTACTCTTCTGATAACTTAATAGCATTTATATTTATTCGTCTGAGTTAGTTTATCAAATACTAACTAGCCATTCCCAATATGACCCGTTTGATAATTATTTTGTTTTTAATTTTGTCTATGTTAGTTTATCAATACTAGCTTGCATTATATAAGCTAGTCATTCCCAATATGACCCGTTTGATAATTATTTTGTTTTTAGTTTCGTCTGTGTTAGTTTATCAATACTATCTTGCATTATATAAGTTAGTCATTCCCAATATGACCCGTTTGATAATTATTTTGTTTTTAGTTTCGTCTGTGTTAGTTTATCAATACTAGCTTGCATTATATAAGCTAGTCATTCCCAATATGACCCGTTTGATAATTATTTTGTTTTTAGTTTCGTCTGTGTTAGTTTATCAATACCATCTTGCATTATTAAGCTAGTCATTACAATATGACCCATTTGATAATTATTTTGTTTTTAGTTTCGTCTGTGTTAGTTTATCAATACTAGCTTGCATTATATAAGCTAGTCATTCCCAATATGACCCGTTTGATAATTATTTTATTTTTAGTTTCGTCTTGGTTAGTTTATCAATACTAGCTTGCATTATATAAGCTAGTCATTCCCATATGACCCGTTTGATAATTATTTTGTTATCAATACTAGCTTGCATTATATAAGCTAGTCATTCCCATATGACCCGTTTGATAATTATTTTGTTTTTAGTTTCGTCTGTGTTAGTTTATCAATACTAGTTTGTATTATATAAGCTAGCCATTCCCACTCGTATGACCCGTTTGATAATTATTTTGTTTTTAGTTTTTTGTTCCGAAAAGTTGTACTTATATCTCCTCACTTTCATTACTATAATCTTGCCCTCCTTAAAAACGTTTGAATTTTTAGTTAAATTTCGAACATTTATTTTTATTTTTTTAGTTTTTGAAGCTTTGATTCGGCTTTACTTCTCATTTTCGTTACTGTAATTTTGTCCTCCTCTTCAAAAACATTTGAATTTTTAGTTAAATTTCAAAAACAAAGAATAAAAACCCTGAGCTAAATTTTAAGTTACATTTTATTTTTGTTACTAACTTTGAAGATTTTTATTTATTTATTTATTTATTTTGCTGAACTTTTAATTAAAATATTTAATTTAGGCCTTGAGTTAATAATCAATTTGTTATTGTTTTTCTTTTAATAAATGTTATTGATGTCTGTTAACAAATGAAGATAACCTAGATCTGCCAAACTTAATGCATGGCTAGCCATGGCAGTTGCTCATTTATTACTTTTATAAAAGCAAAATGTATCGTTAAAATGGTGTATCATTCTTGGTCAAATACGATTTTTTTCGAGTTCAACTAAAATACGAGAGTAGATTCTCGAATAGAAAATTTATAATTTAAACCATAAATTTAGTATATTTGTTTCAAAATGATATAACTAGACGGATTAAACATTAGTGATTTTTACTAAAACATCGAACTTTCAAATTATAAAAAGAGAAGTATGAAATTCACGTGTTAAAAAAGTTAAAAAAGGAAAAAATCAATTTATACCCTCGAAATTTGCAAGTAATATCAATTAAAACTTAATAATTATACGATCAAAACCAATGATTCATTAATTTCATTGTTGATTTAAAATCATATGAATAATATTATTCTTTTTAATTAAATAAGTAAAAAATATATATATATATAAACAAATTGGAATGGTAATGGTTTTAACCCTTAATATTAGGGATTATTGTAAAGTTTGGTATACATAATAGATTTTTTTAAATAAAAAAATTAGTTATATTTTATGCATGGTAACAAATTACAAATGTTAATTACATTGATTAATTTTGGAAGGCTAATTTCCTGAAAACTAATTGATTAAAAAAGAAAATGGAAAATGGAAGAAAAAAAAATCTAATAATTGCATTTTGAACCACTAAAATAAACCGTTAAAAAGCCCTCCAAAATTGGAGAATCCTTTCCAACCAACCAATTTCCCACTTTATTTCTCTAACCTTGCGTATTAAATCTCATTCCTCAATCTTCCAAATTCCAATTCATTTCGTTTCATTCCTCAAGAATCGTTCTCTTCCATCTCCAAAATCATGGCTGATTCATCCTCGAATTCCCTATGCAATCCGATTCACATTGCATTCGCAATCGCTTTTGCTCTGTTAATCTCATCTCCGATCGGTTCTTACGGCTTTACTGCGCAAAATGTGATCAATTCGCCGTTGTTGACGAAGAAGATCGCCACAAATCGCACGATCAAGGTTGATATCAACGGAAATGGCGAATTCACGTCCATTCAAGCTGCAGTCGATGCTGTTCCGGAGGGGAATTCGCAGTGGATGATCATCCATGTTAGGAAAGGAATTTACAGGTGATTTCTAGCGTTTTCTCTTCCGGATTCTTACATTGATGTGATAAATTGTTCGTTTGTGTTTTTAATTGACAAAAGAGTGCGTGTTTTTGGCTCTGTAGAGAGAAGGTTCATGTTCCGTCGAGTAAGCCGTACATCTTCTTGAGAGGAAACGGAAAAGGAAGGACGCACATGGTTTGGTCACAGAGCTCTAATGATAACATTGAATCTGCTACTTTTAAAGTCGAAGCCAAACATTTCATTGCTTTTGGAATTAGCTTCAAGGTCTAACATATTTCTCGATTTCTTTGGTGATTTTTGCCTAAATTAGCTTCAAAATGTATTCAGTTATTCCATTGATTTCTCTCTTTTTTCGTTTATTTCTTCTGGAAATTTTCCTATACAGAATGAGGCTCCGACTGGAGTGGCTTACACATCGCAAAATCAGTCGGTAGCGGCATTCATTGCCGCAGATAAAGTCGCATTTTACCATTGTGGATTCTACAGCACTCACAATACGCTGTTCGATTACAAAGGCAGACATTATTATGACGGTTGCTACATTCAAGGCTCAATTGATTTCATCTTTGGCCGCGGCAAATCCGTCTTCCACGTAATTCTTTTCCCTTCCTTTCTCTACTGTTGCTTGCTCTCTGAAGAATTTAGAATACCTTTGGTGTTTTATACATGGAATATTTACAGTTTTCTTAATAACCGTTTCATATTTCATTTGTGAATTCTGGTTTTTAGTTTCTTAAAGCTAAATTTATAAACGTTATTCTTGCTCTTTCCATGTTTGTTCTTCACTTTCTAGTAATGTTTTCAAAACTTATACTTACAAATAGTTTTCAAACATAAGTTTCAGACAACTAAATTTTTTTTTGGTTTAGTTAGAAGATAAGAATTGAAGCATGACAGGATTGTTGGGAGGGAGTCCTACGTTGGCTAATTTAGGGAATGATCATAGCTTTATAAGTAAGGAATACATTGGCTAATTTAGGGAATGATCATAGCTTTATAAGTAAGGAATACATCTCCATTGGTATGAGGTCTTTTGGGAAGCCTAAAGCAAAGTCACGAGACTTTATGCTCAAAGTAGACAATATCATACCATTTGGAGATCCGTGATTCCTAACATGGTATATGAATCATGCCCTCAACTTAGCCATGTCAATAGAATCCTCAAATGTCGAACAAAGAAGTTGTGAGCCTTGAAGGTGTAGTCAAAAGTGACTCAAGTGTCGAACAAATGGTGTACTTTGTTTGAGGACTCCAAAAAAGGAGTCGAGTCTCGATTAAGGGGAGGCAGAGGCAGTTCGATGGCTCCATCAAGGGAGGCTCTATAGTATAGTTTGTTCGAGGGGAGGATTGTTGGGATCATAGGTTTATAAGTGAGGAATACATCTCCATTGGTATGAGACCTTTTGGTAAGTCTAAAGCAAAACGTGCGAGTTTATGCTCAAAGTGAACAATATCATACAATTGTAAAGATCGATAATTCCTCACCGCATGCATATTTGAATTGAAAAAATGATGCAGTGTGTTAAAAACAGGTCAACTTAAGAATTTAGAAGCTCATGTAACCAAGTAATTTCATTATAGTCTAATCTTTCTTCCATTTTTCTTGGTGGGATGTGATGATTTTCCATGAAAAACGATGTTATATTGTTGCTGTGGATGCAGAATTGTGAGATGTTTGTGATTGATGACAAGAGATTGTCGGTCCGTGGTTCAGTCACAGCTCAAAACAGAAAAAGTGCAGATGAGAACAGCGGGTTTGTTTTCATCAGAGGAAAGGTTTACGGAATTGGCGGTGTGTATTTGGGGAGAGCAAAAGGTGCATTTTCCAGAGTCGTTTTTGCTAAGACTTACTTCTCCATGACTGTTCTTCCTGCTGGTTGGACCAATTGGAGCTATTCTGGTGGCACAGAGTAAGCACTCCCTCTCTCCCCCATTTACGCGTTTATAATTACTAAATTGCTAGGAATCACGTACCATGCTGTGATATTGTCTACTTTGAGCATAAGTTCTCATACTAATAGAGATATATTCCTTACTTATAAACCTACGATCATCCTCTAAATTAGCCAACGTGAGACTCCCTCCCAACAATTCTCAACATGAACCTATTCTTTAACTAGTTGAATTATGTTTGATTTAGTCGTTTACTGAACTAATAGGAATCACGAACCTCCATAATAGTATGGTACTTTTCACTTTGAACATAAGCTCTCATGACTTTGTTTTTTTGTTTTCCCAAACGCTCTCATGCCAATTGAGATATATTCCTTACTTATAAATCCACGATCATCCTCTAAAGTAGCCAACGTGGGACTCCCTCTCTATAATTCTCAACATGAACTAGTGTTTAACAAGTTGAATTATGTTTGATTTAGCCGATTACTGAACTATTAGGAATCACAAACCTCCATAATAGTATGATACTTTCCCCTTTGAACATAAACTCTCGTGACTTTGTTTTTTGTTTTTCCAAACCTCATGTCAATTGAGATATATTCCTTACTTATAAATTCATGATCATCATCTAAATTAGTCAAGATAAAACTCCCTCCCAACGGAAAAAATGGTTGCAAACTAGTGTTTTTGTAAGTTCAACCAGTGTTTTTGTTACAGGAATCTGTATCATTCAGAATATGATTGCCATGGACCAGGAGCAGAAAAAGGGAACCGAGCACCATGGGCCAAACAGCTAACTGACAAGGAAGCTGACCAGTTCATGGACATCAGCTTTATTGAAGGGGCCGATTGGCTTCCTGCATGGCTATAAGCAAAAAACAAAACAAAAAAAAGGCTAAGCTAATTCACTCCTCTCGCTAGTCCTTCACTCCTTTATTTTTATAAATTTACGGTCTATTCGGGTAATTTTTCCAAGCTATTTCGCAAAGATTCTTAAAACTATTTGTTCCAATGAGACGAAATATTGAATTCAAATTCTCTTTTTTTTTTTTTAAATCTTTTTCTGTTTATCTTATTACGTAGAATTGGAAGTACAAATAGGTAGTGGTCTTTGCATGAGCATTTTCTGGTGGCTGCATGCATATTAGCTTTGTAAATATATTGGGAAAATTTCCAGGACTTTGGGAGTATCTATATCTACTCCCTTTTTTAGCATCATATTTGATGTGGTCTGATTTTAGACTCTGCCACCGAATCCTCCACCTGAACCGCCACCAAAGCCTCCTCCTCCACCTGCTCCGCCTCCAAATCCACCTCCTTTACCACCTCCAAAACCTCCTCCTACTCCGCCCCCATGGCCTCCTCCGAAACCACCTCCTGCTCCCCCGCCAGCTCCGCCTCCAAACCCCCCTCCCGCTCCTCCACCAGCTCCGCCTCCAAATCCACCTCCTTTACCACCTCCAAAACCTCCTCCTACTCCGCCCCCATGGCCTCCTCCGAAACCACCTCCTGCTCCCCCGCCAGCTCCGCCTCCAAACCCCCCTCCCGCTCCTCCACCAGCTCCGCCTCCAAATCCACCTCCTTTACCACCTCCAAAACCTCCTCCTACTCCGCCCCCATGGCCTCCTCCGAAACCACCTCCTGCTCCCCCGCCAGCTCCGCCTCCAAACCCCCCTCCCGCTCCTCCACCAGCTCCGCCTCCAAATCCACCTCCTTTACCACCTCCAAAACCTCCTCCTACTCCGCCCCCATGGCCTCCTCCGAAACCACCTCCTGCTCCCCCGCCAGCTCCGCCTCCAAACCCCCCTCCCGCTCCTCCACCAGCTCCGCCTCCAAATCCACCTCCTTTACCACCTCCAAAACCTCCTCCTACTCCGCCCCCATGGCCTCCTCCGAAACCACCTCCTGCTCCCCCGCCAGCTCCGCCTCCAAACCCCCCTCCCGCTCCTCCACCAGCTCCGCCTCCAAATCCACCTCCTTTACCACCTCCAAAACCTCCTCCTACTCCGCCCCCATGGCCTCCTCCGAAACCACCTCCTGCTCCCCCGCCAGCTCCGCCTCCAAACCCCCCTCCCGCTCCTCCACCAGCTCCGCCTCCAAATCCACCTCCTTTACCACCTCCAAAACCTCCTCCTACTCCGCCCCCATGGCCTCCTCCGAAACCACCTCCTGCTCCCCCGCCAGCTCCGCCTCCAAACCCCCCTCCCGCTCCTCCACCAGCTCCGCCTCCAAATCCACCTCCTTTACCACCTCCAAAACCTCCTCCTACTCCGCCCCCATGGCCTCCTCCGAAACCACCTCCTGCTCCCCCGCCAGCTCCGCCTCCAAACCCCCCTCCCGCTCCTCCACCAGCTCCGCCTCCAAATCCACCTCCTTTACCACCTCCAAAACCTCCTCCTACTCCGCCCCCATGGCCTCCTCCGAAACCACCTCCTGCTCCCCCGCCAGCTCCGCCTCCAAACCCCCCTCCCGCTCCTCCACCAGCTCCGCCTCCAAATCCACCTCCTTTACCACCTCCAAAACCTCCTCCTACTCCGCCCCCATGGCCTCCTCCGAAACCACCTCCTGCTCCCCCGCCAGCTCCGCCTCCAAACCCCCCTCCCGCTCCTCCACCAGCTCCGCCTCCAAATCCACCTCCTTTACCACCTCCAAAACCTCCTCCTACTCCGCCCCCATGGCCTCCTCCGAAACCACCTCCTGCTCCCCCGCCAGCTCCGCCTCCAAACCCCCCTCCCGCTCCTCCACCAGCTCCGCCTCCAAATCCACCTCCTTTACCACCTCCAAAACCTCCTCCTACTCCGCCCCCATGGCCTCCTCCGAAACCACCTCCTGCTCCCCCGCCAGCTCCGCCTCCAAACCCCCCTCCCGCTCCTCCACCAGCTCCGCCTCCAAATCCACCTCCTTTACCACCTCCAAAACCTCCTCCTACTCCGCCCCCATGGCCTCCTCCGAAACCACCTCCTGCTCCCCCGCCAGCTCCGCCTCCAAACCCCCCTCCCGCTCCTCCACCAGCTCCGCCTCCAAATCCACCTCCCGCTCCCCCTCCATGGCCACCTCCGAAACCGCCTCCTGCTCCACCTCCTGCTCCGCCTCCAAACCCACCTCCTGCTCCGCCTCCTGCTCCACCTCCCGCTCCGCCTCCAAATCCACCTCCTTTACCACCTCCGAAACCACCTCCCGCTCCCCCACCAGCTCCGCCTCCAAAACCACCGCCTGCTCCGCCACCAGCTCCACCTCCAAATCCACCTCCTTTACCACCTCCAAATCCACCTCCAGCTCCGCCTCCTAATCCACCTCCACCTCCTAATCCACCTCCCCCTCCAATTCCGCCGCCATGGCCACCTCCGAATCCACCTCCAGCTCCGCCTCCTAATCCACCGCCGCCTCCTAATCCACCTCCACCTCCTAATCCACCGCCATGCCCACCTCCAAAACCACCACCAAGGCCACCTCCAGCTCCAGCTCCACCTCCAAACCCACCACCAGCACCACCGCCAAGACCACCACCAAGCGTCTCCTTCTCCAACTTCCGGCTTTCAGCAAATCCCACAATCAGAAATGCCAGAACAAGAGCCAAGGCTCCAACCTTGTAAGTGAGTTTGGCCATACTCTTTTAAGTTAGGAGTATAGCTCACTTTTTGAATGCACAATAATGCATTGTAGAGATTATTGTTAGTATTTATAGCGAGAGAAGTGCAGGCAGGGGAACAGCATTAATGCATGCAGTTGAGACTCCTCTTGTTTGACTGTTTTAGTTGGTTGGGACACTCTTTAGAACTTAATGAAATGCCTAAATTTTCAACTTAGGGGCCGTTGAGTTCCTTAATTTGCTTGGCTCCACCTCTCATCTGCTAACCGATTTTACAGCACAGATCCATCCATTTTCCTGTATTTGCACAAAAAGTCCTCCTCCAATGCCCCACTTGGTCCCATCTGAGCCACGGACTCTCAGTTTTCTTTGAATTATTCATAGACCCAATTATGCATGGGTTAGATTTGTGGAAAGTCATCATTCCAATACACACTTCATGGTTTTCATGATCCCCTAGTGACCCACTTGCTTGTGTATGTCTGTCACGGCTATGCGGGTACCTATCTATATTTAAGATAAGATAAGATTGTAATCGATATTTTATCTATTGGTTTAGTTTTTTTTAGTGGAACAGATTTATCGAATATATGTATCTAAACCAATTGAACTATGCTCGAACTTTTGTAATTGATGTTTTATCTATTGTCTAGGTTTTTTTTTAATAAAACAAATTAAAAAATGTTACACGTCATAAAGTTACCCTAAATTTAAGTACCTAATAAGATATTAAATGTTTGATAACTTTCTATATTTAAGATTGCAATGGATGCTTTATCTATTGGTCTAGTTCTCTTTTTCTAAATGAATAGGCACGGACCCATCTTGATATGGTTTTTTTTTTAGTGAAACAAATTCGAGCACACATATCTAAATCAATTGAATTATATCAACTTTTTCTATTAAAGAAAAATGGTTGAGTCCAATTTTTCAAAATTAATTACTCAGTGTATTAAATGTTTGATAAGATTTAAATGTGAATAATGTCTACTTCTCCAAATTTAATTATCCAGTAAAATATTAAATGTTTATATGATTTAAATGGGTATAATGTCTACTTCTCTAAATTTAATTATGAAGTAAAATATTAAATATTTATAGGATTTAAATGTGAATAATGTCTCCTCCAAATTTAATCATCCAGTAAAATATTAAATGTTTAAAAAGATTTAAATATGGAATAATGTCCACTTGATTGAATCAATTATCCTTCATTATATTGGATTTCAATCTGTCCATAAAATTTTTTGTAGACTATAGGAATAATAATTATTCACTGTTTAATTGGTTTTTAATTCTTTCCAAATTTAAAATTTATTTAGGGATGTAAATGAAGTAGGATGGGGACAAAATTGAGCATCCCCACCCTCTCCCGGTAAAATTCACTGTTTATCTTTTGGAACTGAATAAAGTTCCCTATAGAAAATTCTTAGGGATCAGGTCCCATACAAAAATATTCCCTGTTCGTGATTTTTAAAATCTTTTTTTAATACAAAGATTACATTTCAATCGTTAATTCTCAATGAATATTTACTATTTAGAGATAATTCTTGAACTTTTATTAGAAAAAATACAAAATATCTCATGAAATTATACATATATATTTATAAAAAAATCTTGTAGGAGCAAGAGAATGGATTTCGGTTTCCATTTTTGTCTAGCTAATACGAAAATTTTACTCCCATTTTGTAAGATCCTACGTCGGTTGGAAAGGGGAACGAAACATTTTTGTGTGTAAATCTCTTCTTAATAGATACATTCTAAAATTGTGAGGTTGACGATGATATATAATAGGCCAAAGCGGACAATATTTACTAGCGATGGCCTCGAGCTGTTACAAATAGTATCAAAGGTAGACAACGAGTGGTGTACCAGCGAGAACGCTAGCCCCTAAGGGGGGTGGATTGTGAGATCCCACATCGGTTGAAGAAGGGAACAAAACATTCCTTAGTGGAGAAATCTCACCCTAGTAAACACGTTTTAAAACTCTGAGACTGGCCCTAAGCCCTAAACCCTAAACCCTAAACCCTAAACCCTAAACACTAAACACTACGTAACCGGCAAAACAAACCATATCTAAAATAAAATAAACAAACAAAATAAATAGCTTTTTCTTAAAAAAAATAACAATAAACAAACAAACAAGAAGAAAAAAATAAATAGCCTTTTCTTTAAAAAAATAACAATAAACAAACAAACAAGAAGAAAAAAATAACATAAAATAAACTCTACAATGAGTTCATAATTCATTCAGTGATGCAAATTTACTTCAGACCCTTCAAAATTACCATTCATTGTTCAGAGCAATAACTTAAAAATCTCAAAATATTCATTCTCCCTTTCCTATAAGCCAGCAGCTCAAATAGTACTTCATAATATTACAGAAGAAATGGTAAGAACAGAGGGAATTGAAGATGCAACTCAACTTAACCACAACAGAACCTTCAAATCCTCTAATACAACAATCTCTAACAGCAACAAGGACAATTCTATAGTACCTAATAGCACTAGCAGCATCTCATCTAGAACAAGCAGGTCAGTGAAGTGATGTACATAAAACAGTCTTTATTATTCGCCTACTAATTATATCACACGGCCTCGACGACATGTAAGTTCAGAGCTCGGCTTATGAACAATGACTCGAAAATTACACAAGTATCTTATGTTAATGGGGGAAAGTTTGTAAGGGGTCGAAGAAACTAACCGACGTCGTTTAGGCCTCTCTCTGTCAAGGGGAGTTCGAGAGTGATCAAGAAATAACACCTTTCAGACTCTCTGATGTACTGGACTTCACCATTCATGAGCTTCAATATCTTTCTGCACATGCTTAAGCCTAAGCCTTCTTGAGTCACCCATCTGCCACTATGAAACATGTCCTGAACCAACTCAGGTGGTAGACCTTCCCCAGGGCATACAATCCTTCGTCATAATAACATATGTTAGCCTTTTGCTTTTGGAACTAATGTTTTTCTCCTTTTTTTTTATTTTTTATTTTTATAATAAAGAGCTTTCGTAGAACAAAATGAAAAGAATATACACATACAAAAATGAAAAAGAAAAAACAAGAGACCCAAAAGCTACAGAAAAGATCTAATAATTGAAGTCCTTATAAGTATTAAATCTCATCTGCTGATCAGATCTCTAAAATGTTTGAGGATGGTCGAGTATTATTGGGAGGGAGTTCTACCATGGCTAATTAAAGGGAACTATCTCTATTGATATGAAGCCTTTTGGGGAAACCGAAAGCAAAGCCACGAGAGTTTATGCTCAAAGTGGAAAATATCATACCATTGTGGAGGGTCTGTGATTCCTATATGGTATCAAAGTCATGCCATTAACTTAATCATGCTAATAGAATCCTAAAGTGTCGAACAAAGGGTGTACTTTGTTTGAGGGCTCCAGAGAAAGGAGTCAAGCCTTGATTAAGGGGAGACTGTTCGAGGACTACATAGATTTTGGGGGAGACTCTATGATGTATTTTGTTCAAAGGGAGGATTGTTGAGCATCGTTGGGAGGGAGTCCCACGTTGGCTAATTAAGGGGAAGATCTAAAGAATACTATCTCCCTTGGTATGAGACCTTTTGGGAAAACTGAAAGCAGAGTTACGAGAGCTTATGCTCAAAGTGGGCAATATCACACCATTGTGGAAGTCCGTGATTCCTAACATAAAAATCCTATCGAAACTAATAATATTGTTGAAACAAGGAAATAGAACTATGCATTTACATCATGTTCTTTCGTTCAGTTTTCAGTATCTTCAGCTCAAACATATGTGAAGAATGATTGGATGTTAAAATACCTGAATTCAGTGTGTGCAAGAGTATGTCCATCTGGATTTTGCTTCAGGAATGGACAGACACGTATTTCTACCCAACCTTCTGGAGAGGGTGCGTAACGGACCATATTCAACAAGAAATCAGCTAAGACTTGTTGAATCCTCATTTGATCGCCATAGACAGCCATAGTCTTTACTTCTTCTGGTATATCACGGATCAGCTGTAAGTTCCTTTCTCTGAGGAGTATCATTACTTGGCTAACAACAGCATTGATAACACTTCCCAATAAGAACTCCCCCTTCTCAAGTTCCATCGTACTGATTACAAGAACAATCAGAAAATTAGCAATCACTTGTCGAGACATATGATTAACTAAGGAGAATGATGTACATGAATCCAAAAAAGCAAGCAGAATAGAAACAATTTAGAATAAAGATAACTTGGTACTTGTTTCAAGATTTTCATCCAGTTGGTAATAATAGAAGACTAGAAGAAAATTCCTCAATTCTACACAAAACAAATGGACTTCTTTGTTACCTCTTCAATATTAGGTGTACATTGTTCTTAGTGGCAGATTGACCATTAAGGAAGAAACACAGAAATGTTACTAGATCAGTTGCAGCCATGGCATTTCCCCCATCACCCAGGATTTCCTGGTTTAATCCAAATAAGGATGTTCTTATGATTGACAACATCTAATTATATACAGATGCAGCCAGGTAAGTAATGAAACTGTCCCAAAACTAAAGCACAAACCAAATAATTACCAAAAGAAGATAACTAATGTACCCCGCATAGGTTACAGACTCTCTGACAACCATTCCAAAGATGAATCAAATAAGTTTTCCGTTCAAGAATGTAAATTCAATTGAATGCAACAAAAGATGCTATAAAAGACTTATGATTGTTAAAGAACCACTTACCCATCATCAATGCATTCCAAATCCATATCTTCTATAATCTTCAACATCTGCTTTTCACAAGCAACACTGGTCTCGAGGAACTGTTTTTGATCTTCACTCAAATCTGTAGCCTCCAAAAGTGAGTTAGTGAAGCGTATACCACTCAAAGGACTCTTCACTTCCTGGCAAATGTAAGCCAGCTCTTTCATCCTAGCGAACCGGTTCTTCTCCTGTTGCCTCTGCATTCTAAGAGTTTGCTGCAATTCAGGACTAGCTATCTGTAAGAAGCAGAAAGCTCCAACAATCTGACCCTCCATATTCATCCTCTTATTTGCTGTTAGGAGAGCTTGCACATATTTCCCCTTTTTGTCATAAAAAGAAAAGGGGTATTTTTCATTGTCCTGCCCACCAATTGCACTGTGCAAGACAATCATAAATTTGGTCAATGCATCTGGACCCTTCAGTCGACAACAACTTCCAAAAACTTCTCCTACTAGCATTTTTCCAATTATCTCCTCTTTGGACCATCCAGTGAGCTTTTCCATGGCGGTATTCCATTCTGAGCAACATGTATTGTCGTCTGAAGCAAATATTGGAGGGATAAGAGGATTTGGACTATGAACGATTGCTTTGTAATCACCTTGTATGCTAATAAATTTGTCCATGAACACTTTTTGGCAGGTAACATCTTGACCAACAAAACAAACGCCAACTATATTATCGGTGTAGTCCCTGCTAGAGCAAGCATTTACAACCACAAAAATTGGCGTTCTTTGATCTTCCGGCCCAAATGTCTTCATTTTTATCTCTACATTTTTGTCTTCTTCACCTGCATTTTGCCAACAAGTGCAATTTTCCATATTTACTTTCTCAAGAAACTATAAATGCACCCACATATGTGATAGAACCCAAATCTATTGCAATATAAAAAAAATAAGAGAGCTACAAGATAAACCATGTAATTTAAGGTACTTACCTTTTAAAGCCCGGGAAACAAGTTTGTCGACTGTTTCTTCAGATTCTTTATACACAAGATCACGAACTAAGGATTTCCCCATAGCTTCCTCAGCTGCAAGCCCAGTCAACTCAGCTATCTTCGCGTTCCATCCATTGATATGACCATCGGCATCTACAGCAAAGATAGGGGCAGTTGCAGTCTCAATTAACCTGACCATTTCTCTTGCAACTGAGCTGAGCTCGTCGATCCCTTGCAAGTCAAGATCCCCTAGTTGAGGGTGCACAACTGCCTTTGAAGTCATTGCCACATCTTCCTTAAATGAGTCTCGCAGAATAAGCTGCAATGAGTGAATTGCATCCATTTCTGCATTCTCCCATGGTAAACTACGGGATTTTACAACTTCCAAGAATGCCTTGAATGATGAACGTGGATGCATTCTTTGACCATCGTCCTTATCCTCTGGGTGATGCTTTGCGCCACCCCATTTGATCTCTTTTGCTGTATGTGATCGGAACCAAAATAGCAAATCCCTTTTTGTGATGTAAGCAACAGCCATTCCACAAACTGCATCACCTAGCAAGGCTGCCCCTGGATATCCAGCATCACCCAAGCTATCTGTACTTAAACCAGTTGAATCTCCATGGAAAGCCAACAACCATTCCACAATATCCTTTATTTCGGCCTCGGTTGGCGTAACACCCAGAGGGTAATATTTCCCTTGATAGTAGAGAGCTGCCCCATCACACTTTACTAGGTCCATGATGCTTGGACTCTGTGTAACAATCCCAGTTGGGGAATCACGAAGAAGCATGTCACACAAGAGAGTTTGAGTCCTCAAAACATGTTTCTCAGACATCTGTGAAGCCAACTGCAATTCCATATTCAGTTGAAGCCCAAAGGCTTGCATTAGAAACTCACAGGCATACCGAAGCGGGAACGGAATACACCGAGCAGAAGTATGGTGGCATACAACCAAACCCCAAAGCCTTGTTGAGTTTTGCCCGCCAATAGCTTCATCATCATTACCATTGATAATAACTGCCATTGCTAACGAAGCAATGGAGCCCATATTGGCCATATACTGAGCATGGCAGCCATGGGGAGCACGAAGAGTTGAACCCACCAAGCATAGATGTTGCATAAGCCCTGGCTCCTGAATTACACGAACTGGAGAGGCATTGCAATCAACGATCATCCTAACACGGTTTTGCTTAAACAAAAATCTTGATGCCTGAGGAATATCAGTAGAAGGATAATGCAATCCAATGTATGGCTCTAAGTCAGCCCTCTTGCTTTCAGCCACAACCTCACCATGCTCATCCTCATGAAATTTATACACCATAACCCTATCATATCCAGTAAGCTCCCTAACACTCTCAACCACAGTATCACACAACAGTTTAATATCTCCACCAGGGAGTGATTGCAACTGAGAAATAGCACGTACCGCAAGTTTTTGCGATTGGACTGCGCCAGCAATAGAAAGGGCAGGATCCTCCGTTCTTGCAGGCTCCAAATCAATCACAATTCCCACATCAATCCTATGCAAAATTGCGTAAAAAGGCTTACCAGAATTCTTGGAATGAATCCAAACAGGGTTCAACAAAGTGATTTCTCGCGCCCCAAATGCCTTCTCGAGCAGAATTGCACTGTTGGAAGTGAACAAATTCCGTACATCAGTCCCAATTGTGAGGATCTCAGGCTTTTCAAGACTCGGCACTGATTGGGGAGTTAAACCGAGCAATTCCCTAGCGTTCTCACTGTATGCAATAACCCGAAAACTAGCCTCATCTATGGCTATCATACATCCAAAGGGCTGGATATGGCCGCCTCTTTGAATCTTCGACAAATAAGCAGTAATTTGCTGCTCCGGCACAGATTGCGTCGAAGTTCTTATAGATTGTGAGTAGTCAAAAGATTTCCCAGACTCACCTGACTGCTCGAACACCGCGTGAAGACGAGCATCGGCTGTGTACTGCGCTATGGCTTTGTTGATAGAATCTGTACGGTGAGATCGGAAATTGCTGGTATTCGTGTTCGAGGACTGTGCTTGTTGTTGATGCCAATGCGTCGCTCGATTACTGGAAACCATTTTCTTCACAACAAAATTCTTTCCACTAACTTTCACTTACTTACACAAATTCTTCAAATCCAAACCAACGATTCTCGTTTCAGTACCGGCAGCGACGGAGCTAAGAAAGCAGGATTCTCCGGCGAACAGCAAGGCATCAAACAAACCAAAAAAAAAAAAAAAAAAAAAAAAAAAAAAAAAAAAAAAAAAAAAAAA